GAAGAGGTGAGTAGATCTGCTTTGGCCCCCCCGCCCCCGAGACAAAACAAGCACTTAACCCTTTGCAGCACAGAGGTGACCCCACTGCAAGGGCACAATGTTCCTTCACCCGGAGTTCTTCTATAGAGAGCTAGAGATTAGTTGTGGACGAAAACCATTAGAAGATTTTGGACTCCGGCACCCTCGGTCTGGTACGCACATTAGACTTGGTTCATGTGCAACTCCGGAGTTTTGGGTTCCTTCTTTTTAAAATGACACTGAACTCCGGAGTTACATCCTAAAAATACATTTGAGAACCTTAAAAGGAGAACTATGAGGTGAGTGAAAATCATCACTCACAGTTTCATTGTCACACGTCGGCTCAATAGATGGCAGAGCAAACAGATACAGGCGCTCGCTCACTTCTCGATCATCTCCCTGCAGAGATCAGTGACTGTCACTAACGGTTCCCTGCAGGGATTCCCTGGGCTCCCCCCCCCCCCCCTCTGTCCGATCCCCCAGCGCTGACTGGCAGAACGGATGGGGAAGGGGTGGGTACAGCTGTCACTCACACTCCTGGGTGGATCCAGACAGTAATGCCGGGATCCATCCCAGCTGCGGCGTCTCAGTATACAGCGAGTTGTAGCTCCCTATATACTGAGCTTTGGGTGACGGGAGGACGCTAGTTTGTGTCCTCCCGTTACCCTAAGGAGAACTATGGGGAAAAGCCCTAACCCCATAGATCTCCTTTAACTATGAACAACAATGTATCTTATTTGTGTATCACTCGGCTGTAGATCCTCCAATCATCTCTGAATTGGTGCTGACACTGTCCTTCCTTCTGGAGGGGGGCTACGTCTGTTCCCCATGGTCCCTGTGTGTTGTACAGTAGTCACCGCTCCAAGCTCGCTCTGGGATGGACTACAAGCTCATGTTTAGTTTACTAATTTGTATTGAGCTTGTAGTCCATCCCGGGAGCGAGCGGTGTCACTGTATGCCAAAAACCAGAGAGTCACAAGTCGCTGTCATCTGAATGTGACCTTTCTAACTGGCCGAATGTGACAGGGTGGCTGGGTGAAGGTCTCCTAAAATCCAGGCTGCTTCATACCTTCCCTCCCCACCTCATAACCCGAGGCATGCCAGTCTAAATTACTTCAATCACACACGTCGGTGTAGTAGGTGAAATGTCTGAGGTGTCTGCCTTTAGGCATTCCCTAAAGACTCATCTCTTCAGGGAAGCCTATCCCACCTCGACCTAACCGCGGAACCATCACGTTATCAAACAATTCATCCCCACACAGCTCCCTCCTCCTGTGTCACTTCCCCCTCCCTATTAGATTGTAAGCCCTCAGGGGCAGGGCCCTCCTTACCATCTTGTCTTGAATTGTATTGTGATTGTAATGTCTTCCTTATATTGTAAAGCGCTGCGCAAACTGTTGGCGCTATATAAATCCTGTATAATAATTAACAGCTATTAACAACATCTAGTGGCCATAATAAATACTTGCTCCTCAGCTCCCTCTAGTGGCCATAATAAATACTTATCCCCTATGCTCCTCAGCGCCATCTAGTGGCCACAATAAATACTTATCCCCAATGCTCATCAGCGCCATCTAGTGGCCACAATAAATACTTATCCCCTATGCTCCTCAGCGCCATAATAAATACTTATCCCCTATGCTCCTCAGTGCCATCTAGTGGCCACAATAAATACTTATCCCCAGTGCTCCTCAGCGCCATCTAGTGGCCATAATACATACTTATCCCCAATGCTCATCAGCGCCATCTAGTGGCCATAATAAATACTTATCCCCTATGCTCCTCATCTAGTGGCCATAATAAATACTTATCCCCTATGCTCCTCATCTAGTGGCCATAATGCAGTATTACATCACGATGCATTCAACCTGAAAAGAAAATATATTAAAAAGGGTATCTATGGTGCGCCAGAGTGAGTGCGATAATTCTCCAGCCAATATTCATGGCTAACTCTTAACTGATGACCGGGGCTTTATATTTTTATACATCTATATAATTTTATATATAATTGGAGTTTTTGTCCATGTTTGGTGTGTTATTTTAAATAAAAGTAGAGTAATGTTTTGTGTTTTTCAATTCAGATTATTTTAAATCCATTAAAAAAAATTTAAATGTCTAATAAAATACAGTTAAAAAAAATAATAAAAAAGAGGGAAAAAATAATGTTCATTTTCAGCCTGACAAATTCTGCTGCGGGACGTGTGTTGCGGCGCCATTCATTTCAATACTACCCCAAACACGCCTCCCGCCCACAGTATGATCGCCCGCACTGGAACGCACAGTACTGCAATGCTGTATTTCCAATGCAGTGCGATTGCAAAAAATTGTGCATGCCTTTTTATTCTAAAGTAAACTTTCTGTTTCTAACACGGCATCTGTGTATTTTATGTTTTTATCTGATTAATCAAAAAAACAATCATCCAACTAATCGATTATGAAAATCATCGTTATGCAACCCTAGAACAATGTAACATTACCATCGCTTGTTGGAAGCAATGCATGATGGGTTATGTAGTCCTGAAAAATGGAGATTGCATCACCTCAATCAGCAGGGAAAGAGACACAAAGGAATCCAGGAAGTTGTTGGAAGTGATGGGCAGACGGAAGGCGGCGCTCCCTACATAAAAGGGATGCGTTCATGTAAGCTTTGATTGTATTATCAGACACACCCCCAGTATGTATTCCTATCACACTGCTGATGTCATAACAGGAGAGGAGATGCCGGGACTTTACATCACCTTTAAGAACGTTTGTTTTTGCCTCTATTTGCAGAGAAAAAATGTTCACAGATATTAGTCCGGTGAAGGGCCCTGAAAAGTGTTTATAAATAGAGCGCTTTGTGTATGTAAAGTGTAACAATAAATATCCGGAGCCCCGTGTACTGCGCGTTCTTATCTCAAACACCCTTCCCAGCTCTGCCGATCTACGTCTTATCTTATATACACACACAATATCATACCCCCTCCCCCCCCCTCAGATGAGAACGAGGGGCGTCATCTGTCACAATGTATTTAGGCCACACCCCCAGTTATAACTTTACGCCCAGGACTATGTACTGCTAGGAACCCTTCCCTGCCAATCCCTCCACTGGTATCCACCCCCTCTGCCTCTCTGCCAATCGCACCACTGCCTTCCATCCCCACCCAGCCAATCCCGCCACTGGTTTCAATCTCCCACACGTCTCTGGTAATAAAAATAAAAATAACAGGAAATCCAGAATAGGGACACCTGTCCTGGTGAAAATTAAGAAGGCATTTTCCCTCATTTGTAATGATTTCCTCTCACTTCCTGTTACTTCTCTGGAACAGGAAGTGAAAATCTGTTCAATCTCTAAATCCTTAATAATAATAATAGATGAAGTAAACAATGGACACGTGGGGTGACGCCACCACCCCGCATCCGCTGCAATCTGGGAGCCCCAATGCCGTGGATTCCCAGATCCCTGGGAATAGCAAACGCAATTGTGGGCGGAACCATGCACAGATGCATTAAAGTCAAACACCTCTCAGACCCCACAAATCAGGTAAGTGGGGGGGGGTTTATTTGAATGCGGGGGTTGGGATATGTGCCCATGTTTTATGTTACACCCTAAATATCGAATATGATATGAAAGGACTATGCCTTTAAGAGGGCACTGTCTGCACATCTCTGTCCTTGTGACATCCCAGGATGAGCCCTCCCATACAACAGCCCCGCCATCCCTGGACATACGGCTCTCCTCCTCAATGACAGGCCATTCTCCTCTCCATCGCACCAGGTCTGTCAAAGACAAAGGGCCCCATGTCATAGGCAAGGGCCCTCAGCATCCATAAGGGGCCCCTCTACTACAGCTTACACACTGACCCCTCCCAGATAAGCAGCCATCCCCTTCTCTGGACAGCTCCCATCCCCCCTCCTCCACAGCAGTGGCCCAGTAACCCTGACATCTGAGGCAGCTGTAAAAGCACCACAAGTCTCAGAATGCTGGTGATTGTGGTTCTTCCACAGGTTGCCTAGAGCTGACAGCACATCCTATGACAGCCATGTTCATCCTTCCCCCCACCAGCCGCCCCTCAAGCACCCAACACTCCCGACCCCGGCCCCCCTCACCTGTCCCCAGCTGAAGGTCTCTGCGTCTCTCAGCTCCAGGCGCATGCGCGGATCCCCGGCCCCAACGCTACTCTAGGACCACATGACACACCCAGTCACGCCCCCTCAGCCGCACGGTCGCCTCATTGGCTGATGGCTTCACGCCCCGCCTCAAGTTCAGTTAGCATCATAGAGTCCCGCCTGTCGCATAGAGTGACTCTCCTCTCCTTGGTGTGATCTCTATGGTTGTCGCACACCTTAGTGAGCGGCCTGAGGCTTCTGTTGGTTACCATGGGGGCGGCGTTGCGGCTGTCTGGGTGCCACATATAAAAGGGGCCACCCCCCAACCCCCATAATAAAGCAAAACAGTAATAAGGGAAAAAACACATCAGACTGACGCTAGCTAAAACCAGTGCTTCAATATACAGTTAACCGATCAGTTCAGTATCTTAGCTGTCATTACGCCCAGGAACTTCACTCAATCATATAAAATAAAAACAAATTAAAATGTTATTATAAGGCAAGTGTAAAATACATACTTAGCTTTGCCATTTTGGGTAAGGGCATACCCTAATCTGTGCTGCATGAGCACCCTGCGCCCCAGGGCAAGACTATCCGAGCTTTGGCCCACCAGCAGTGGAAACTACAAATCCCATGAGGCATTGCAAGACTGACAGGCACAGTCATGACTACCAGAGGCAGATGCATGATCTAATTTGTAGTTTCACCACAGCTGGAGACCCAAACTTTGGCTATCCCAGCCATAGGGGGGAATCATTTAATACACACACTGCCCTAGTAACAGCAATGTGCAAACCCAATATAGAGTGCTGGGTGCCAATGCATGGGGCAGGATTGGTGGCCATTACAATGGCAACGTGTAAAACAAATTATAACCCCTTAGTGTGCTGGGTGCTCAGCCAGGATTGCTGGCTGCCACTATGGCAACATGGCAACTAAATTATTCCCTGCTAGAGTGTTGGGGCGCACACGCACAGCGCTCTAGTGGGGAATCATTTGGTTTCTACGTTGCCATAGTAACAGCTATATAACACTGCAAGTCCCACATACGCATGTTCAGTGGACGGTCTCATTCACACAGGGCTTTTATTTCTGGCTGTGGTTTCCTGCGGCTGGAATCACAGGAGGTTGTGGGGAGCTGCGGCTGCTCAGCCATGCCAGGCCGACAGGAGGAGACGCTGTCCTCAGCTATTCACATATATCTGCTCATATAGTGCTAACCTGCGGTTAGGGACAGATGACCGACCCTGGACACAGACAGATCGCATCCAGGACCATTCATCTGTCCCTGTCTGCAGCTAGTCAGCAATTCACTCCAACATGGAAGAGATCTTATTTACTTCCGCTTCTCTCATCACCCATACAGCGGGATTTCTTTATGAGTTTGTTGCAACAAAAGCGCCGCACAGTGGGGGGAATTTATCATAGCAATTGCGAGTGTTTGAACTTGCACGGAATATATTTGCGCCACATTTATGATGCCAGTGTAATGTTGTTGATAAATGAGGTTTAACCCCTTCATGACTGAGGCCTTTTTTTCATTTATTTGCACCCATGTTATATTTCACATTTTAGGCCTGAAAATTACTTAAAACTAGGGATTAGTATCGGTACTCGTACTAGGTCTTAAAAAAGTGGTATCGGTGCATCCCTACTTAAAACCCCCAAACATTATATTTATTAAAATAAACTCTTTTTGATTAACCCTTGCACTGGGGCTGCCCAACCTCATTTGTGTTAAAGATGGACAAAGTTATACTCCCCCAAAGTTCTGAGCCGGCTTCTTCTTACACCGATCCTTCCTCCGTCTCTCCCCCTCCTGTGCAGCGGTCTAAGGTCCTGTAAATCAGCAATGTCTATACACAGTGTATAGGCGCGAGGACGCTGAGGAAGATTCCAATCCTGCAAGGTGGGGGGGAGAGAGGTGGGAGGGAGCGCATGTGACAGCTGGCCGGCTCGGAGGATCGGGTGAGTATATCTATGTAATTTTACCACCTGGCAGCATTTAACCCTTGCAGTGCCGGGGGGGG